CTATAAAAACATGTTGTGCACTCTAATAATTGTTTTATTGAACTAGTTAAGTTCAATCGATTACTCGTTTTTAGTTCAACACTAGAGGGCTTATTAGATAACAAATAAATAACAATATACGATTTATTTTCTTTGTATAAGGCACCAATTATATCGTAAACTGCAATATTACAAAATGATTACCACCAACGCAAGATGTTAACAGTTGCATCAAATCATCAAATTAATGGCCATAAAATCGGTGATTTTTTAACATGACCATTAGATGGTAGTTACTTAGTAACAATCGACCTCTACAATTACATAATCTATAATTAAATATTCTACCATCTGCGATTGTTGTTATTAGTTCAATCTTCCTAATAATAATTGGTAAAAGGAACTTATCTGAAAGTGAAGTTCAACTAATAATTATACGAAGCTCAATATAAAGGTACTTCGTAGCAGAAAGCTCACTACAAGGTTAATAGAGTGTCGAGAACATAGAATTAAAATATAATTTCATGTTGACACATTTTGAAATCACAATAAATATTGAATAAAGTATAAATCTATAAAGATCCTGGAAGAATTAGCACAACTGCCGTCAAAAGTGAAATTCGCGTTTCAAATATACATTAGTCATTAGGTCATAGGTCAATAGCTTCTATTTTTTTTATAAGAACAACAGGTGATTTTCCTTATAATTCTCTCACACCTGCGCTACTAAGTTTCGATTTCTTTTGGTACCTACTAAATGCGCTAAAATTAGCGTTCGAAATTTAAATAAGTTCTGTTGTGATGAATTAGCAGGCTGCGTGGACATGATCCCGCGGCTTCGCGCTAAGCAGCTTAGAGGGTACTAGCAAACCAGTGAACCAAATGTTCACCAAAACCTGATTTCTCGAAAACCGGAAGTGCTACGTTACTCAAATCCGGTTTGTAGTCTTATCAGACTATTCTTAACTTATAACTTAAATATTCTCTTTATCTATCTCTTACGGTTTGGCCGCTGAAACAGCACCACAGACAGACGGACTTGTCTAATAGATAAGAGATTCGCAGGATTTTTTTAGCGGATATTATGCCGTAAAGCGCCCGTAAGGGTTACGGGGTCCTCAGTGGGCAGCTACTGCTGGAGCTAGTAAGGCTTGAGAGTGCCAGGTGTGAGGTCCTTTCGGCGGTGTGCTTCTTAAAGGCGCCGTCGTCTGTAAATAGTATTTTTTGCCTGCGTATAAAAAAAAGGCTGCGTGTACATAGACGCTAGACCCTGGGTTCCGAACCTGGGGGTAATTACCCCTCCGAGGGTAAATCAGCCATACTTCGGGGGTAACAAAGAACCTAATTATTTGGTCAAATCTAAATAATAAGAAAATACTATATAAAAATACTACTACATAGAGCATGCGCTCCTTCTTGCTAGCGAGCCCGCGAGGTGCTGAGTGTGGTAGGCGGGGCGAGATTTTCTCCTGATGATGACATTATTAGAGATGAAAATGTTGCGGCCAAATTGGAATTTCTTGGACTGATGATAAAAATTCAAGGTCGGGGTAAAATCTGTTTTCCTAATAGGTTACAAGGGTAGCAGTATTGGAAAGGTTAGGAAACACTGCGCTAAACGATAGCTTGACTGGCGATAACTTGAAATGCTAAAAGAGGTTGTGGAAAACAATGAATTTGTATGTGCAGCTGAAGGAGCGTACCTAATTCAAGGTTCGAACGATGATTATAGCGCGTTTTGGTATCAAAATACCCGAAACTTCGTCACGCAGGTGTAGGATAAGTGTTGCAGGCATGCAATAAATTAGCACATCACCAGCCTATTAATGTCTCCACTGCTGGGGCACAAAACTTCCTTATGGATGGAATAGGGAGATTGGGCCATGACCCACCACGCAGGCTCAGGGCGGATTGGTAGCTGCTAACGACTGCAGATGCAGCCGGGACTAGGGTTACCATCCGTCCGTATTAGTTCGGACATGTCCGGGCTTTTAGACTATAGTCCGGACGTATGTCCGAATCTTTAAATTGTCCGGATTTTTAAAAATTACATTGAATATGAATAATAAAAGTACATATTGATTTAAATACCATAACATTGTAACTAAGTGAGTAATGGTACCATTTTGTGACTAAAAACTGCGGACTTTTTTCGAAATGTCAGGATTTCTGTCAGGACTTTTGAAATTCCTAAATGGTTAGCCTAGCCGGGACCAACGGCTTAACCTGCCTTTTGAAGTACAGAGAAGCTCGAGATAGTAAATTTTTGGTCACCCATCCAAAGACCGACCACTGCGAAAGTTGCTTAACTTCAACGATCGCAGCCGAATTCGCTAATCACTTGCGATATCGAGCTCCAATAAATTATGTATCATATTAAACACTATTAAACAACAGCGGTGATAAAATGGAAATCCCTAATTTTTAATTTGACCCGGCAAATTTTACCTAATTTAATTTTACCTACCTCGAGGTAGTTAATGAAATTTCAGAGATGGCCATGATACAAAATCTCTGCTTCCTGTCTTTCATACACTGACAATGTTCCAAACAAGAATACAATCTTCATCAGTAGTCTACAGAAATACTTATCAATGGCGAGGGGATTTTAAGCCATACGGAGAAATTCCCAAAATACATGTGCGAATTTAGAATAATTTTGTACACCTACTCATATTTCACTACTTTCGCTGCATTGTTTCGTGGTAATTAGCAAAAGCTGTGAAAGCTAACACGGTACTGAGTAGCTTAATCAGCTTTCATTTGCATTCGCTAATTGATGAGATAAAGGAAACTTAAGAGTAAATGTAAGATTTCGCACTAATCTCAACGCCTACCAGTCGCTAATGTGAAAGGTATGTGTCGACAATATTTATCGATATCGATTTGTCGATCGAGTTTTCACATCCGATTGACGTCCATATTTATACAATACTATTTTACACTTTCTGCGCGTCCGCTACGCCATTTTTTGAACAGTACCCCTAGCACGAACCAATATCGAATTCGTATCGTTTGCGAGTCCGAAATGTTATTGTCAAATGTGTACTGATTTTTAGTTCTCGTTACGTACTTTGTGCCGCTGCTGTTCAAGTTTCCATACAAAATTTGACATTGATATTTCGGTTTGCAAACTATTCGAATTCGATAATGGTTCGTGCTCGGGGTACTAGCCCATTACGACTATCACGATGGAGTGCATTGTGGAGTGGAAGCCAGAGACAACATTGGAATCAATCATGTTGATATATGAAAGAGCCGTAATTTGGGATGCAAATTCAAATGAAAATTAAATTAAACATAAAAATCAGATGCCTTCGTGGAAGTGACGGAGGTTATAGGCACAACTGTGAACTCTGTGAGCACAAAATGGTTGAGCCCCAGATAACAGAATCGAGAAAAAAAGAGAACTAAATCCACTACAGCCTAAACTTCTCTTGAGAAATCTTGTTAAGAAACTTTGTTTAATGAACATTGCTAAAGTCGCAGCGGAGGGAAATGTTAAATGTTTTGAACAAATGATGTTCAAGATCAATGTTTGTTCAAAACATTGCGCAGCAGACACGCCTTTATGCTTATGCATAAAGGCGTTTTGTTATCAAAAGCTCGCTTTATGCATAAAAAATTGAGCAATGAATTAATTTAACTGTAATATCAATAATATCATTCTATATTTGTTTAAGATTATTCTATATCGAGCAAAGTTACTCCATGATATCTAGGTGCCTACCTACTGAAGTAGTTATTAATGCAATAGATTGCGAAGTATATAAAATTTCATTTACATTTTATTGCTTACGGTGAAATGGTAATTCTTGCAGTAAATAATCAAGTAATATAATTTATTTGAAGAAATTTCACCTCATCATCATGATTATGTTTCGTGTATCTTAGAAGCTACCGAAACATGTATTTTTTAACGCATACTCCACTTATACTGATAATCTCAATCATAAATACTAAGTAGAGTTATGTCATACCAATTATCGAGTTCGCCAATGAACACTTCTTTTTGCCAATTCTAGGACAGTTATGTCGAAGTTACACAACTAATTGTATATGGAAGTGTAGAATGTGCGATACTTAACGGATTATTTGGTGTATTAATAGCTCTAAGTACTAGTTCTACTTTTGATTTGTTTTGTTGAGTTTTTTTCCTTGACAAACGTGAAAGGAATATTGAAAGTTTGTTTCGATATTCGATACAGTGTACGGAGGGTGCAGCACTAATAATGTTTTTATTTAATAACTAGTATATCGTTTGTCCGTGACTTTTATGTGTATTATTGGTTTCTCATACTAACTTACACCCCATATGTTGGGTTACCAACTTTTATTCTATCAAATATAGTATTTTCGAAGAAGATACCTCTAAAAATAGTGTAGACGGCAAAATAATTGAAATAAAATATAGTAAGTGGTGAAAAATTTTATTTTAGTTTTGAAATTAATATATTTTTGCTGCTCTATACCTTAATTTTATGAAAGCTTTTACTGTCAAAGGCTTTAAGCAAAATATGGTAGTTTCGCCTTCTATATATATACTAGCTGACCCAGCGAACTTCGTACCGCCATAAAAAAATAGGGGTTGATTTTAAAGGGTTGAAAATTCAGGGTTATATGTATTTACTAATGCTGTATCATAAAAAAATTAAAAAAAAAATCTAAAATTGAAAAATAAAATTAGGTTTCGATTACCCTTAACATTTAGGGGGATGAAAAATAGATTACATCCGATTCTCAGACCTACTGAATATGCATATAAAATTTCACAAAAATCGGTCGAGCCGTTTCGGAGGAGTTTAACCACACACCGCGACACGAGGATTTTATATATTAGATAGATATATATATATATATATTGAATATAGTATTATTTTTAAATACAGTATTTGATCCCCTAATATAGGAAGATACTATATTATATAGTTGGGTTGGCAAACCTAGGCTAGGCTAATTGGTGTGAGTGTTGGAAATATTTATTTAATTTTGCTTTAATGTTGTTTTCGTTATTGTTTCAGGGTAAAGAGAAGAACAACCGCGAAGATTTAAAAACAGACATACAACATCGCAAAGAAACATTTTACAGGGTAAGATTACTAATTAAATACCTAATTCTTATATGCCTACATTAGCAGTTTGGCGTGTCGCACTGCTAAGTGACAATCGAAAACGTCAAGTTCGATTCTCGGCTGGTCAGGTATACGACACAGAAAGACATATAATTAGAAGGGTGATCGTAGACCGTTTGTACGGGAACGGGAACGGGAACAATACACTGCCATCTAGTAGATAATAGCCAATCAAACGATGCGACATCAAACATCATAAAACATCATGACGCAATCAGCGGTTACACCCAAGAGCAACGATGCAATTAGAACCAAGTTTTTCATCTAGTTATGATCATTTGCTCACACATAACTTTAGCACGCCTGCCCAGCCCACAAGGCCCTACTAACCTTTTTCTGTGTTCTGTGGTATATGACATTCGCTTCTCTGCCTTGGTTATGTGTATGCTTAATTTTCAAACACCTTTACCACAGTATACATATAAGCTAAAGATTTATATTCTGTGCCTTTACACTTTACGTATGAAATAAGAGGGAAAACAGGCAAAAACATTCATTGCCGTAGCACTTGTTATATCTGTCAATAAGCACTTATAAATGTCAAAAAGTTAAGAACTATAAATCCTATATTATTATTCATCATCATCAGCCTATTAATGTCCCCCGTGCTGGGGTACAGGCCTCCCTATGGATGGAATAGGGAGATTGGGCCATGACGCACCACGCGGGCCCAGTGGGGATTGGCGGGTGCTAACGACTGCAGATGCAGCCGGGACCAATGGCTTAACTTGCCTTCCGAAGCACGTAGGATCTTGAGATAGAAGATTTTTGGTCACCCATCCAACGACCGACCACTACGAAAGTTGCTTAAGTTCAACGATCGCAGCCGAACGCGCTAACCGCCTGCGCCATCGAGCTCCTATATTGTACTGAACAAATTTGTTCCTGACGCACTTGCTCGATAATTAGCTTAAAAATGCCAAAACCGACAAGTTTAGAATAGAATGTGTCATTGCACTTAGGGCCTTCTGATAACAAGGAATCTGTATTCTTTAATCCACATCTTTGAATCGTCCAATATTTTTTCCTACCACCCACCCATTCAGGACATCTTCTAGCTGATGAGAAGAATGGGCTCAAGAAACTCATCAGCATTTAATAGAAGTAGCAACATTTACAAAAAATCCATACAACGTCCACTCGCATTTTGATTGCTGTGTCATCACACTAATATTATAAAGGCGAAAGTTTGTGCGTGTGTATGTTTGTTACTTCTTCACGTCTAAACGGCTGGAGCGATTTTAATGAAATTTGGTATGCATGTATGGAGTTAGCTGACACAATGGATTAACACATAGGCTAAGTTTCACTGCGGGAAAATATCCCTAACTAGGGGCCCGCCCTCGCTTCGCTTCGGGGTAGAATTGATCAAAATCCTTTCTTAGCGGATGCCTACGTCATAACATCTACCTGCATGCCAAATTTCAGCCCGATCCGTCCAGTGGTTTGGGCTATGCGTTGATATATGTCACTATGTCAGTCAGTCACCCTTGAGTTTAATAACGGTATATAGATAAACTGCGGGTAACACCGCGGGGCACAGCTAGTACAGAATAAATACAAATTGTGCCAGCCAGTGTGCCTAGCACGAACTTTGATAGTTTTCTATAACTATGAACTAATGTTCGTGAATAAAGTTATAGCTTAATAGCTCTATTCTCGCTTTTATTAGTGATAAGTGCGAGTGTGAACTTTTTAACATTTTCTATCAAGTGTTAAGTGTTTTTTTAATGTGAAATACTATTGCGGTCCGTGATCATTATATATGCACATTAATTTCCTCAGCTTTTGTAAGAATTTTGTTGTTCTTATGCAGTCTGTAAAGATTCAGTTACAACTAGTGTTGCCAGGTCCGATAGACAGATGTTTAAAATCGGTACAAGAGGTCAAAAAAATAGGGATTTAGGGTTGCAGATCGGGACAGTAAACAAAAAACAAGGGGTTTTTAAGTCTGGGTTTAATCTATTACGTTTTAAACTACTATTGCAAGTATAGTAATATTAATTACCTAAATTTCATTTTTCGATTAATCGGGACATTTAGCGTCCCAAATCGGGACACATCCCCAGACCCCTGAAGATCGGGACGTCCCGCGCAAATTGGGACACCTGGCAACACTAGTTACAACCTATAGGTACTATATAAAGTATCATATTTTTTTTTAGTATTATTTATTTTTCTTGAACCTACGATCAAATGCAACAGCTACAGACTTATTATTAAATATATTATTGTATATTAAGTAGCGCGTTTGACAAACTGATAAAGTCAACTCTCAACGTTAACTGATAATAGTAATCATCCAATTTTGAATTATATGACACAAATTAAAAACGAGCGAGCCTTACAGTAGTGGCGTATGATGTGTAACTTTTGAAACCTCACCTTATATTAGTAAAAAAAGAAATAAAACCTACTACAAAAGGAATAATCCAATTGAACATTATGTTCTAAAATCAAATCAAATAACGCGCGCTTTCGCGACTTCCTGTTACACCTTTATGTCCCATTTCACGAAATCACTCCCACAAATTGCAGGAAAGCGAGAGGAAAGATGTTAACACATCAAAAAATGAGCTATGGAAATCTTTGTTAGGACCTTGTGCAATAACTATAACATCTTCCGAGAATGATTACTTTTGCGCCAACCTGTACCCTTAGTACGAGTTTGAACCCCCTAAAACTATCATAATTTTTGTAATTGTAAATTATGTTTCTATGTCCATTTTGGTGAAAAGTAATCAAATATACTTAATATTGATGAAGACGCAAATGATTTAATGATAGAATTTAAACACTGTTTATTTGTATTGAAACGAAAGCAATAAAATCAGTACCCTTAGTACGAGTCACGAAAACTATCATAGTTTTCGTAATTGTAAAACTTGTACTAAGGGTACTGTACTTACAAGTGCGAACAGGGTATTGTCTCTTTATATATTTGACTGTAACCACCAAATGTTCTAGATTACTTCCCAAGTTCGCAATAAGTTAATACTAAGGATTGTGTTACAGGAGGCTCCATCGGACGAAGACTCGGCAGTGTCGTCCGCGCCCCCCTCGCTCTCACCACAGCCGCTCAACGATATGTGGGTAAGTACCGTTAGCAATGATTACTTACAACAAATTAATAACTAAAGATTTTTTTACTAGAGAACAAATCCACGTGGACCTGTACTACGGTTGCCAGATTGGCTGGACTTGGCTGGATTGTCCAGCTATTTCACACGTTGTCCAGTGTCCCGGTTTCAGACAAAATTTCTAGCTAAAATGAAGCTGAGAATTAAAAACCACCAGTATTAGTGGTTTTTCCACCGAGTTGGCAAAACTGGCTCCGCTGCGGCCTTTTGCTATCTATGCCCGGGATTAAATTCAATAATTCGATTGAACTTTGAGGAAACTTGTACTAAATTTAAATATTTTCTAAATACAGATAAAGGTTCTAAAATGATAAGTGCGGCTAAAGGAAATGCTAAATATATGTGGCAGAAAAAGTGATTTCATATTAATTTTGTTTGATTAAGGTTCCTCTGTTTTGTAATAATAAGAAATTTTAATAGTCATGCTGTTTTTTTGTCCAGCCAAAAATCCTAATGTCCAGATATATTATAATATTGTCCAGAAATTTTGATTTCTCAATCTGGTAACCCTAACCTGTACCCTTAGTACCTACGAGTTTGAACACATGAAAACTATCATAGTTTTCGTAATTGTAAATTATGTTTCTATGTCCATTTTGGTAAAAAGTAACCAAATATACTTTAAAATTAAGAAGACGTAAATGATTTGATGATAGAATTTAAACACTGTTTAGGTATTTGTATTGAAACGAAAACAATAAAATCAGTACCCTTATTACGAGTGTGAGCTCACGAAAACTATTATAGTTTTAGCTATTGTAAAACTCGTACTAAGGATATTGGCAGAAGACGGGACTCGAACCCATTGTAGGTAGCCCACAATGTCAAATGAATAGGTAGGTACCTTTACAAGTAAAATTTACAAATTCGACACGGACATTTAGGGCCGCGGTAGCTTAATGGCCAGTGCAACCGCCCGGATAGCGGCGATGCTAATTCGAGTCCCATCTGCTGCCTGGTCCGCGTGGATTTTTTTCTAGTAAAAAATATTTAATAGTAAAATATTGTCTTCAGATTTAAACAATACAGTTAAATGATTTTTAAAAATGTATTAACTAGTTTATTGTTAGTAATCGTTGATTTAATAAATTTGAATGCTTGATACAACTAACTGAATGCAATGCAATGAAATCGGTGGTACCTACTAGTTATACACCCCGGCAAACTTCTTGAGCAACGACCATAGATAAGGAAGCCTGCGCAGAAGCAATTTATATACATAAACGTCTACTACGCAAGTTTGTTTGTCTGCGGTTTTGCTCAAAAAGTTTCTCGCGAACCGCAACTCACCAATTTTGAGGCAAGAATATTTATATCATTGATTTTGAGCTTGATAAGAAATTAATTATAAGAAAAGGTTTGACAGTTTCTCGTTATTAATTATATGCAATTAGTTTCAATTAATACATGACCTTACTTTGTTACATTTTTTTTTTAATTCGTTGCCGGGTAACGCCTGTAGAGAGTATTGCTCGTTTTGTCAATCAGTTTTGTCAATCAGGCGCATTTGCTTGTAGTATTTCTGCAGGCGTTAAAATGCGCGCAGTCTTGAATACAGTCTGCGCATAGGTGCGGGTATTAAGTGTTCTTTTTACCATTGTATTACTTAATTCTTCATTTATTTGTTAAAGATAAACAAAGAAATAAGTAATACAATGGTAAAAAGAACACTTAGGTATATACCCGATTTATTTATTTATCTTTAACAAATAAATAAGTAATACAATGGTAAAAAGAACACTTATATACCCGCACCTATGCTTTATTCTTATTTTAATATTCTCATTCAGTAACACTATTTATTTATTTTTTATTTAGCGCACAATTTTGGATACGGGAGGGATTCTAAATGATACAATCAGAATTTTTATTTAACTTGAAGTGCTTAGATTTAGAATGTTTTTAAAGAAATGTACCTAGTACCTAATTTTTAGATTATTCTAAGACCTTCTTAAAACAGAAGAAGTTGCAGGTACTAGTAGTAGTATCTAAATTCTTGTGCTAAGCAAAGATAGTAAAATACCTAGTGTCTATTCTTACTAAATTAATGATATTAAATAGTTTTCTTAAGATGCAACTATTTAGATAATAATATGTCAGCTCTAAAAACCAGCCTCCCTAATATTATAAAGGCGAAAGTTTGTGAGTGTGTATGTTTGTTACTTCTTCACGTCTAAACGGCTGGAGCGATTTTAATAAAATTTGGTTTGGAGTTAGCTGACACCCTGGATTATGCGGGAAAATATCCCTAATAAACCGCGGGTAACAGCTAGTAGGCTATAAAGCTTTTTAGTCACGCTCAATTGTCAAATGACTAGAGTTTGACAGTTATACGCGATAAAAACGTGATATAATGTAAATTGTGGTACTCATGCTACGCGCACAGGATCGGATTTAGGGAATTATTATTTTCCCTAATTATCATTGACTTGCCCCATCAAAAGGAGATTTTGAACTTTTATCCCTCTTATCTCCATTCGATTCTAATTAATAATGGGGATAAATAAAAGTTCAGTACTAATTTCAACACCAGTTGAAATTAATAATTAAAGCAAATCGTACATCTGGCCCTGCTAATAATAATAAGAAAGGCAAATTCTTATCATACACAAACGCTATTATTGTCACTGTTAAAAAAAGGCATGTTTGAAGATAATTCTCTTTAGTACCTAATAAAAATTTGCACTTAATGCTCAAATATAAATATAATAAATTTAAAGTTGTTATTAATAGGATGTTTGCGTTCTGCTTCTTAAAAGCATTGTTTACCTATTCATTTATGAATGCGGGGCGTGAGACAGCCTTGACGCTCTTTGTAGAGAGTCATCGCTGTCAAATAAAATGTCAGATTCGCAATCTAAATATTTTGTCACCCACAAAGTATTGGCGCTTAGCGCTTGCGTCACGCGTATGCGCATGCCGTTGTAGGGCAACCAAATTATTGAATTTATTGAAAAACAAAACGGTTTTTAGTCAAATACGCTAGGTAAAGCTTTTCCTATGTGTTATTAAATTGAATGGAAGCACCAGATATCAGATTTCATAACTAATAAAAGAACACGGTTTTTTATTTTAAATACAGTGGTGTACAAATTTCTTGGCCGCATTTCTTATAAAATAAAATACCCCGGACTCAATGAATCTGTATGCAAAATTTCATCTTAATCGGTTCTGCTGTTTAAGCGTGAAGAGGTAATAGACATACAAGATCATATAAGTATGGTATGGGTTTTTTAGGAATAATGATCTTAGATAATCTTTTTACCACATCACAAAATTGATACTAAAGGATAACGGGCTTTATTTGACGTTTTTACCTATTTGAGTGCTAATGGTGGATAGGTATATTTTATCGTACAAATGTTTCCGTCAGGTGTTGTTTACTCAGACAGTGCGCTCTAGGTGGTCGGGCTTTAACTACGAACGCCAGTGTAGTATTGGGAAAGTGTAATAAATTACAAAATTATTTTATAGTGGTAGGTAACACAACCGCCTTGTAAGTATTGCGCCATGACATTAAATATTTCATTTATAGAACCGTATCGATGGTTATCGAATAGTAGGTAGAGTCTATTAGAGTCTGTACGTAAAAAGAATGGGCGTGGCGAAAAACGGAACTAACATTAAGATTTTTATTTGGCAATCAAACCCAGTGTTGTGATTTCTTGCGGTATTTTGTATTTAATCATGTCTAAAAGGGGTAAAACCTTACAAATACGGTAGAAAAGCACTACAGCGCCCTCCACTCTAAATCCCATTCATTCTCTTTCCGCACAGACTCTACATGAGTTTTTAATTCTGTAATCTGTGGTAAAATAAGACATGTATACAACCACAAAATAAGACATCACATTGTTACCCTTTTCTTCCCACTGTGGCCCGCGCTTTACTAGTGACGTCATCAGGACTGTCCTCATTGTCACCCATCTCATAGCCGTACCTAGAGCACCCGGCGGCCATGTTGCCTGCTCTATTGTACACCACAACAATAAATTTTAAAATATGAAAAAGGAATGCATTACCCTTAGCACCAATCAATATAAAATTCGTAACGTTTGCGAGTCCGAAATATCACTGTCAAATGTATACTGATTTTTAGTTCTCATTACGTACTTTCTGGCGCTGCTGTTCAAGTTTCCATATAAAATTTGACATAGACATTTCCCGCTCGCAAACTATTCGAATTCGATAATGGTTCGTGCTAGGGATACTGATATACTTAACGGTATTGTAGTTATATATATTCGAGGAGCTCGATGGCGCAAGTGGTTAGCGCGTTCGGCTGCTATCGTTGAACTTAAGCAACTTTCGCAGTGGTCGGTCATTGGATGGGTGACCAAAAATTACTATCTCGAGCTCCTCCGTGCTTCGGAAGGCACGTTAAGCCGTTGATCCCGGCTGCATCTACAGTCGTTAGCACCCACTAATCCGCACTGGGCCCGCGTGGTGGGTCATGGCCCAATCTCCCTATTCCATCCATGGGGAAGGCCTGTGCCCCAGCAGTGGGGACATTAATAGGCTGATGATGATGATGATGATGATGATTGTAGTATTCGTTTCGCTGCGAATGTGGCCCTCGCTTTACTCGTGACGTCATCAGGACAGTCCTTATTGCCACCCGCCTCATAGCCACTCTCGTCTCGCCTACAGTCATTCGGGGCAGTGCCGTTCGGCCGATGAGCGCCCGTCGGTGACGGCAATGTTGATAAATCAGCGTTAAATCTTTACTGTACAACTCAATACAAAACACTGATATGTTTTATCAAATTATGCATCAGAATTGTATTAATTTCGCTGTCACTGTAACCCGCGCATTACTTGTCACGTCATCAGGACAGTCCTCATTGCCACCCACCTCATAGCCACTCTCGTCTCGCCTACAGTCATTCGGGGCAGTGCCGTTCGGCCGCTGAGCACCCGACGGTGACTGCAATGTTGATAAATCAGCGTTAAATCTTTACTGTACAGCTCAATACAAGACACTGATATGTTTTATCAAATAATGCATTAGCCCCTCTAGCATGACCACCGAAACGGGATATGATAAAGCGATATATCCACATTAACTGTCAGACTACTGTCAAACTCCACTGTAGTCTAACAGTTAATTCGTTTCGGTGGTCATGCGAGAGGGGCAGAATTGTATTCATTTCGCTGCCACTGTAGCCCGCGCATTACTTGTGACGTCATCAGGACAGTCCTTATTGCCACCTATCTCATAGCCACTCTCGTCTCGCCCACAGTCATGCGGGCAGTGCCGCTCGGCCGCGGAGCGCGCGGCGGCGTCGGCGCGCGAGTGCACGCGACTCGCGGACGCGCTGCGCGACGCTCGCGACCAGATCGAGCTCATGGAGTTCCGTCTATTGGAGCTGGAGGACGCGCATCCTGATAAGGTAGGACTCCTTGCTGTTATGCCTTCGCTTTTTTTCCTAAATGACGTAGGTGGAAAGTCATAAATAACACTCTGGTGTATTTTTTTAGTGTTAAAAAAGTTTCTCAAACAAATCCCGCCATAAAAATGTACAATCTGATTGTGTTTAATATAAATGATAATAATAAAATAAAATAAAGAATTTTACGTAAATGAACCCTGAAAACATTACACATTTTTTTTAGGTAATCGTGTAAAAACTAACTGTAGTTAACACTGGTAAAATTAATTCTGAAAAAAAGAAGTGAATAGCTCATTAAAATTAGATATGAGTACATATAATTATATGATCAAAGACCGTTTTGTGTTTTCAAAACTTTTTTCATGTCCATAAAATGAAAATCTATTTAAGAAAAAAATAAAGAACATCTACATAAACAGTGAAAAAAATCATGGGCATTTTGTTTCATTTATAAAAAATATTATTAAAGACGTAGGACATTTTTAATTTTAAATCTTGGACTTGTATCACTGATGTCATTAGCTTAATGCTTATTAGTTTGTCACTCACGTGCCTGAGGTATATTATGTGTTGTTACGTGTATATGTTAGTCACTTCTATTTACGTGAACGTAGTGTGTTAAGTGTTATAACGTGATACGTATTTTGCGAAAAAGCCTTTAAATTGTGAGTGAAATATCTTTATAGAGTATCGTGTAAAGAAAAAAAAAAAGATTTTTTTGTTATATACTTAGTGACACAGTTAAGATAAAGTGTGTTGTGATAATAAAGGTGTGATAAGGAAACTTATTGTTATCGATTACTGATAAGATAACATCTAGGAGGCTGTGATAAGGTGAGGTATACCTACATAACTATTGCGTGTCCAGTAGTATTAAAAAGCGAATACTTATTGAAACAATTTGAATATGTCCTTAATGCTTATAATAAAACGCTTAAGAAAATTATTTTCACAAAAAGACGTAAAAAGACTTGTTTTACTTTTCTTATAGTAAACTTTCAGATTTAACTTTAATACTATACTTAACATAAGCTTTTTCCCATCTCTTATATTAGAGTATTTACTAGCTGTGCCATGCGGTGTTACCCGCGGTTTATTAGAAAAAAAATCCCGCAGTAAAACTTTGCCTATCTGTTAATACAAGATATCAGCTAGTTCCATACCAATTTAGACGTGAAGAAGTAACAAACATACACACTAACACTCGCAAACTTTCGAATTTATAATTTTAATGTGATCCTTAATTGAAAATATTTCTAAAATATCTCCTTTTCAATTCAATTCAATTCATACTTTTGGATATGTATATGACAAAATATAAATACTCAATAAACCATCAATAAAAAAAGGCAAATGAGCTAGGAGAATACAATTCAACTCCTTCAAAATTATTATTGTTTAAATAGAATACATTAAAAAAAAACATAGTATTGTCTATTCTTTTTGTTGCGTTCGAAGGCCAAGGCACTCATCCGCCATAGGGCTGTGCAACTGTGCAACACCCAAACCATTGGGTTGCGCGTTGCACAAAACAACTTTGTTCTAACTTCTAACGACTCGTAACCAAAACCGAAGTTCTCAATGATAAAATCGTTTCTATAGGAAGTTGTGAAACTGCAACTAATTAGTTCGCAACAAAAGGACCAGCGACGGCCACGTTGTTTACGTTTAATCAAATTAGTTTTTTTTTCTTGGTCCAACTAAATATGGCGTGGGATCATGGCTCATTGCAACAGGTGTCTGCCTACGCAAAATATTGTTTTTTTTTTCTATATAAAAATTAAGACATACCGCACTTACCGCCAATGAGGCGCATTAAGATTTTTATTAGCTCACAATTTTAAAGGGCGTATCGTGGGCGTAATAAATCCTTGCAACGCTTTTTTTCCATTAGCAGGCGTTTAAAATTTGGAGAGCAAAATAAGCACAAATAAGCAAAAACATTACTTTGTAATATTGTTGATACCATTTTTTTAAATAATTTCAACACACACCAATTAGCCTAGCCCCAAGCTAAGCACTATAAGGCTTGTGTTATGGGATACTAGGATAACGGATAGAATACATATACTGTATATATAAGTATATTTATATAGAAATAGATATTAAACATCCATGATTGGAGTATAAATGCTCGTATTCATCACACAAACATCTGCCCCCACCGGGATTCGAACAGGGGACCTCTCGAGTCGGCGACACCATGAAACCCGGCGTACAAACCACTCGGCCAAGGAGGTCGTCAAATTATATTATATTGTATTAATTAAGTGCATCTTTTAGGTAAAATATAAAAAGGCTGAGAGAGGCAGTTCATAGCGGAAATCTATTCGAAATAGAGCGAGCCTCTGGGTAACTAACTTACTGAAATGTTTTGCTAACTACGAGTATAAATTGTGATTAAAATTTTGCAACATTTTTTAACATAAACAGGATCTAATACCTGCGTATAAATCACACGAGGTGACATGACAAGAATAATAATATCACGACGCAGTTTTTCAACGGCCTCTTGGAAAATCTTGTATAGCTTATTCATTAAATTATTATGACACTGCGTAGTATATCGTGCAAGGAAAGATATAATATATTAAACCGACAGATCTATGTTACATTAAGTATCGCAGGGTTTAATAATCGTGTCAAAGTTCAGCCTTTTGGGGGAATTAGAAGGTTGACTCATAATATTTTTTAGGTTATTAGGGACATAGAAAGTACTTACTTCATAATAACTTCGAAAATTGTGATTGATAACTCAATAACGGAAATAATTCGGACTTATTATGAACTAGCTGTGTCCCGCGGTGTTACCCGCGGTTTAAATGGGATATTTACCCGTAGTAAAAAGTAGCATGTGTTATACCAGGGTATCAGCTAACTCGATACCAAATTTTATTAAAATCGCTCCAGCCGTTTAGACGAGAAGGAGTAACAAACATAGACACTCACACACTCACAAACTTTCGCCTTTATAATATCAGTGTGATCACGCACATCCGATAGTTTGAGATAATTGTAAAGGAAAAAAACACTGGGACTTAAAAAACTTTGATCGTGAATCGAACTCGATAGACTCACGAAGGTTATTTTGAGTTTATGGCATTTCGTCAAGTCAAATATTGTGAAATTATAAAAAGTTAAAAAAAATAGTAGTAAATCATTATCATCAACCCATGTTCGTCCACTGCTGGACATAGGTCTCCCCTAATGCACGCCACTGCTCCCGATTTTGTGCTACTCTCATCCAGCCCACTCCAGCCAGCCTACGAATATCATCATCCCATCTTGTCTCAGGGCGTCCTACACTACGTTTACCGAGTAGTGGTCTCCACTCAAGAACTTTAAAAAGTAGAATGAATTGAGACAAAGTTGCACAGTAGGTATGTTGTGGCGCGAAATCTTGCCAGTAGAATTTATATTAAGTAAGTACCTACGAATCTACTAGCTTCTTAAACTGTTTCATTAATAAACCCGCAATTATAAAGCGCGATGATTATGATTGCACCTATTGTATTGTTATAAGTAACAAAGTCAAAGGTAGGAGGGATGTTTTGACACCGCAGACGATTAGAACTGGAATGACAACCTTTCTATGACCCTGACCGTACATGTTTGCATTGATAAGGTGAAGGATTGCGGCAACAAAGGTAGGAAACTAGAATGGTATGATGCATAGGTACTATAACACAGTATACTGTCTTAAGTGGGTTACAACGAGAATGCCAGAGTTACAGCATACGGTGGTTAGCGCGTTCGGCCAGTGTTACCAACCCTTACCAAAATTTTACCCTAAGTATTTTTAAAATTCCCCTAAAATCCCCTAAATTATATAAATTTATATGTACCTTCTTATCTTATTACTTAAATTCTTTCGTTGCTCATAAATTAAAACGTTACATATTTAGTTACAGTAAATTATTTTATTGAATAAATACATTTTCCGAATGGAAAATCAAACGAAAATGAGCTGACAGGCTGTTAAATCTTATTTAGCTGTTATGATTGGTGGAAGGCAAAGAACTTTAGTCCATACAGCCTTAGGAAACAACCTGCCACACAGTGAGTTCAGTCGTTTCATATCGTGGTGCGTTCCATTCTACGCACAAAACTGAAAGAAAACACACGCTTTGTTTTTCGATTTAATTGAAAGTTTTGTTAAAAGCCTCTAAAAGAACCCCCAAAAAATTCCAGCCCCTAAAAAAAGTCCGTTTTAACCCTTCTAGCCCCTAAATCTAGGGGCAAAACCCCTAAGTTGGGAACCCTGCGTTCGGCTGCGATCGTTGTAGTCAAGTAACTTTCGCATTGACCAAAAATCTTCTATCTCGAGCAGTGCCGTCTTTGACCTATTGGAAGCCCCGGGCATATTAGGATAATGGGGCCCCTATGACTTCCGTTTGGTGATTTAACAGGAACTAGGGACTTTGTATTTGATCTGAGGAGGCCCCCTATCGATCACGGGGCCCTGGGCACTTGCCCAAAGTGCCCACTGGGAAAGACGTGTCTGATCTCGAGTTCCTCCGTGCTTCGGAAGGCACGTTAAGCCGTTGGTCCCGGTTGCATCTGCAGTCGTTAGCACTCGCCAATCCGCAATGGGCCCGCGTTGTGGGTCATGGCCCTATCTCCCTAATCCATCCATAAGGAAGTTCTGTGCCCCAGCAGTGGGGACATTAATATACTGATGATGATGATGATGATATTTGTTTCTTAGGTTTTCACGCACATCACTCATTAAATAAAACTAGTTTTTACGGGTTAATGCACGAAACTTTATTTATTTATTGACGTTTCGCAGCCTTTTCAGGTCTGCGGTTTCATTATTCTGACGATGCAGACCTGAAAAGGCTGCGAAACGTCAATAAATAAATAAAGTTTCGTGCATTAACCAGTAAAAACTAGTTTTATTTGATGATGATGATGTCAGTCTAAGCATCCATGGAGGCATAAAACAGTCTTTACCTGAAATAAAAACTCAAATTGCCTTATTCGCTCAACTATATTTC